TATATATATATATATATATATATATATATATATGGTTTTGTTGGGCTTCACCATTTGTGGTGTAGCCCTCAAAGTACTCAACATATTTAGACATTTAGTTACCCTTATCCGATAATATAGTAACTTTTTGTTTAGGGGTATTTTAAGTAATTAGTCAAAGGTAAATTAGAAATTTCTAATTGAAACAAAATCATTTATTAACAATAGTGGACAATAACATCATCGATAAGGTGTGTGACATCATCCCCAAGATATATTAATTGTTTTTAATTACCAATAGAATGCCACTATTTGCTTATAAAAATATCCATTCTACCCCTTCTAAAGGACCCAAAATACCCCTACTTGAAAAATTTTGTATTACAATTCAAGGGTATTTTAGTATTAAAAAATGTTTACCAAAGTGTAGCCTAACAAAACCCATATATATATAAATTCTAATTGAAATGTTGGCTATTATGTGAGTCCCTACAGCCTCACATCTTCAATTCGAATCCTCCCGGATGGTATCTTATCATATATAAACCTTATTTACTTTTACTATTCCCTTTTTATTTTAAGCATAACATGAACTCAGCCCAATTAATCGGACTTAGCCTCGTAACTCGCCTCGGTCAAGGTTCAACTACCTTGGTGGAGTCAATTTTCTAAACATTGAGAAGAACTTTGATAATCACTTCCTTACATGCCAAAAATACAGGTTACCCTGCCCACCCATGTAATGATGGGCAGGGTATACTTGCAGCATAGCACAGTGGGATTGTACATCTCATGATATACTCCCATTGCTTTTTATTCTTGATTTTTTGGCTTTCTCTTTAACATTGTAGGAGATAAGGAGGCACAAAAGAGTGATTCAACTGGGTACTTGGATCATATGCCCAATATTTTAGGAGATAAGGCGGCATACAAGAGTGCTTCACCTTGGAACAAGAGTTATCCATACACTAAAAGATCCAAGAATATTCATATCAATTCTGTTATTTTGGCTATGAAAAGTGCTTTCTTTCGAAAGGTAAGAAAAAATGTCTGCATCTCAGCATGTTTATTTACCTTCTATGTAAAAATCACCGTCACCGATCCACGTGCCATGTTTTTGAAGCTTTTCTCATATGGCATACCCGTAACAAAGCAAGGAGATGCAACAGTTGTGATCGAGACAACAGGTTTGATCAAATCAACATCACCTATTTGACTTGTCTAGTTAAAAACATGTGTCCTGTTTTGGTAAGAATTCAGTAGTTTGTTCATTCCAAAGTTGATGGTTGGCTTTTCAAGCGCCTCTTTCCTATTATTGTGGTAAATTACAAATTTAATAAATATTGTCATCCTATACTTTCTTTTGAAATTTTACGAGCTCAAATATGATGTGTAAGGCGAAATGGTGGACTAGGATTCGAGTAGCGAGTGTGAATGGTTGCAGTGAAAGGCGACATGGTTCTAAGTAGTGAGAAAGATATGGGGACTGATGGCCTCATGGAGGGTATGGTCCCTGAGAGAGCAGAATGGCGGACCAAAATTCGTGTGGCAAATCCCAAATAGTTGGAAAAAGACTATGATGATGATGAAAATATGTTGGGTAGAATAGTAGCTTCGGAATAGAGAAATCAACAAGTTTGCTCTCATTTTTTTCTCATTTATTTGGTTTGATATTAGTATAGTTTGGAATTTCAAATCACTAGCCAATACTGTAAAAGGATTACAACAATTTTCAAAAAAATTCAACTTTGGTTGAAATGCTCCAATTTCAGGTTCAATATGCGATTGGTTTGTTTTTTATGTTTCTTAATAGGATTTGCTCGTGTTTGTGAAAGTAAACATTATATGCGATTTACAATTCCCAAGGAAATTCCCAGGAAGATGTATATGCTTACAAATATGTGAATTTGCATACCAACAAATGTACAAGTTTTCTTCTTCTTCTTTTTTTTAACCTAAAATATCACAAATATCGAGAGCAGGACTGAGCCAAATTCTCTTGCGTTTTGAATAGAGGAAGTTGCTTTCATGGAGCTATTCAAATACATGTACTATGGGTGCTTATCAAAAACCTCTGCTCCTGAACTGTTGGATGTGTTGTTCATTGCCAACAAGTTTGAAGTTGTTTCTTGCAAGGACCACTGTAGCATATTGCTGCGTAATCACCACATGAACCTAGAAACTGCATTGCTGTGTTTTGAGCCTACATTGGAAAATGCAATCGATCCTCTCGTAGATGTTGCTAAGCAGTATCTTGTCGATCGTTACAAGGAGTTTACCCAGTAAGCATTCTCTTTCTTTAAATTCTTAAACTGGAAACTTCAAACATTTCATGAGATGGCTCTGAAAAATCAACTATGGACAAAGAGGTTCGAACATTAGCAAAAAAAAGCGTCTTGTTTGGTGTCTTTGATATCGTGGTAAATATTCATGTTTCATCGGTTCACCTTTCTGCTTTACAGTACTTTACTATATTTTATATTAGTTTTTGGGGTTTTCCTCAAATGTTAGCAATTGGGACATGTCTTTAATGTTTAAGTTGATGTGTGATTCATCTACCCAAATTTGGTTGAAGTGAGAAATTTGGGGAGGGTTAGACCATTTGATACAGGTGATTGAGGGAGAGACGAGTAGGCCAACTTAACTTGCTCATATGCATTTCTGAAATGCTATTGGTGAAAATGGTTACTAGATCTTGTCCAAAAGGCAGAGAAAGGTATGATCAAAATGGTTATAAAGTAACAAATAGTGGTCTAGTATGATACATTATATAGTGGAATAGTACCATATCATTATTGGATTGGTGGCCATGGTGATCTCGAATGTCTGATATTGGAATAGTACCATATCATTATTGGATTGGTGGCCATGGTGATCTTGACTGTCTGATGTTCAGTGAAACATATGGCTTTGCTCATTGGATGATGGGGACCATTTAGCCCATGGATTTAACAGAGGGCACCCAAACATTCCTTTATAATCGATAAATCATTATTCAATCTGTAAAAAGGCAATGGAGTTCCTGGACTATTATTTCACAATGATTGATGAGGGCATGGTCTAATATTGCTGTTTCCTCATTTTCGATGAGCAGGTACCAAGACGAGTTGATGACCTTCCCTTTTGAAGGGATCAAGGTTGTGCTATCGAGCGATGAGCTGCAGGTGCCCTCAGACGATGAGGTGTACGACTTTGTTCACAACTGGGCACGGGCAAAGTACCCCACCCTCAAAGAACGTCGCAAGTTCCTACAATCGCACATCACCGACCTCGTCTGCTTCCCCAACATGACAACCAGCAAGCTCAAAGACATGTGACCGCAACTATGTCCTGGATGTGGTGCATACTGCCGATCTTTTCAAGGCACGTGGTCCACGAATACATTGTAATCTCATGACAACACGTGCCTACAAGATACGTCCCAAGAAGGAGGCCGAATTGGGCTCGCCTCCCATGCTTGTTTTGTCCTTTGAGTTGACACAAAAGGAGTGTGCTCGCCTATTTACATGTAGGAGAATATACTCCAGAGGATTTTTCTTGGGGGGCAAGGAATTCTACCTAATGGCCATATCCCAAAAACATAACCGGAGCTCTAGCTCCTCGGAGAGCTTTGCACTTTATCTCGGCATGGTGAAGGACATGCGGGTTACTGTCGATTTTGAGGCATTTTGGGGGATGTCAGATGATTTGAATTTCTCAAGTAATGCCAAGGCCACACTCAATTTTAAGGGCTTGGATAAAGAGTTTTTAGGGTTTGACAACCTTTTTGGTATCCCATGGTCCTCACTCATGGGAGAGGAGAGCCCCTACTTCTCAAATGGGGTGGTACGCTTGACTGTGGTGCTTACGATCAGGTCTTAGGGGCAAAAGGTGGGCGTATATTGACACTGAGTGTTTCTTTGGAGCTTGGTTGAGAACATCATGTATTTATTTCTTAATGGCAATTGCTATGCATATTTGGTCTTCCTACTAATTTGTTTGGGCAACTTTGGTTTTGTTGATCAAATCAGGGTAAAAGTTTTTACAATCTTACCCAGAAGAATTGTCACCAGATCTCCAAAATACATACAAGCATATAACACCATTAAGAAATGAAGTATTTGTGACAGTGCACACTAATTCAAGAACCAATTTATGGATGGTTCCATAAATCGCTTCAAAACAAAGAAAAAGAGTGTCTACTTCCTCTCTTGTGCACGTAGGGCAGCCGGAAGATGATGTTAATTTTTGGACTGTAAAGTAAACTCCTTCTGAAACCTCAAAGAATAAGAGCACCCACTTTCTATCATATGTGTGTTCGTAGTTTTACTGACACCCTAGCCAGCATAACCTCCCCTTAACCGGGGTCGGATTCAGTACAAAGGTGTCAAGAAAGTCCTAATTGAATTTCTGTAGGAATTAAATCAGGTTTCGAAAACGCTCTTAGTACCAGTTAAATTTGGTATTTGAAGTGTTTAACCCCCCCAATTCAGTAGCAACCGAGATGCAAACATTAGCGGCGAGAATACTCCCAAGATATAGCCGGTTCAAAAAAAAATCCTGACGAGAATACTCCTAAGATACAGCCGATTCAAAAAAAAAATCCTGAATCTCTGATGAGTTGCACGGTCAAAGGCTCCCATAAATCCTGACAAAATCTTGACGAAAATACTCATCACGGTCAAAGACTCGCATAACGCATAAATCTCTGATGAGTTGCACGGTCAAAGACTCGCATAAATCCTGAGAAAATCCTGCCTAGAATACTCATCACAACACTTCTGATCTGGCTCCTTTACAATCAATATCGATCACTTTTCACTTAATTTTGTTAAGACTATTCTCCCCCACATAAAAAAAAACAGAAAAAAAAAAAAGAACCCCTGTTCTCACTCCGCCCTTTTTAATTTTAAGAGCATACTTTTTTTTCTTTTTCTTTTCCACCCTCTATCGTTCTTCACCTCTTCTCGTTTATATTATATGAAAGAATAAAATACTCGACATAACACTCGTAAGAGACGAAAGGCAAAGGAAGGAATAAAATGTGTAGGGATGAAAACGAGTTAGTGGCATAAAGCCATATAAAAAATACGTGGCTTTAAGCCATGCAAAAGAAGAAGGAAAGGCACCACAGATAAAAGGCGGACAGTTTCATAAAAAAGGTCAAAGATGATGGTCCATAGAGACCACAAAAACAAAATGGACAATCATAGAAAGGGTGAAAAGCAATAGTTTTGATTTTTTAAGCTAATAATTTAACATGTGCGCGCGCACCAAGCAAGAAGTGGGCCGGAGACAGGGGAATAATGAAGTGACGAATTTGTCAGAATTTTCGTAGTTAATTTTCAGGATATCCTTTTCAAACACCCGGTTTCTATGCGGCCAAGCCCGCATATGTAGAAATGCGGGCCTCTTAATAATCCTATTTCTGAGATGAATTTTAAGACTTAATTTTTAATGACACGTAATCTCCAACATGGAAATCATGAATATAAAAAATAAATAAATTTTAAAAACTAAAAATAATAATTCTAGTAAGAAACATTTGAACCTTTAGTTTCTATTGTTTTTAGATGGAACACCTACATGCATCTATCTTTCAGATGGATGCTTTACACTTTTTGGAATGCGGTCCAACCCGCATGAAACAATTTTCCCTTTTTTAATATGCCAAACACAACGTAGTTTTTAAACTGGTTTCCAAACGCTGGTAAAATGATTGGAAAGTGGTCACATTTTCATGGTTATCTCCTATTTATAAATTGAAAAGATTGCCACAAGAGTAAAGCCATGGAATATACCTTCAGACCGAGCTCTTATGCAGCATTTATAGAATCCTTATTGCAAACTAATTTACTGGTGGATGACTCCCCAAAGTTCTCTTCATCAATAATTTATGGCACAAGAAAACTGTCAGTTTTTTATTAGTGTATAAAATAGCTCATTTTTCAACTTACGAGGTCTTTGCCTCAAGACATGGATTTTGGCCCCATTAATAGCGCAGCATGGTAAACCAGAATCCCGCAATGGAGTGTTCACTCTATGTTGGAGTGTTCCCTGTATGTAATAGCAATAGTGTTGGCCCAAATGCAGTAGATCTTTAAGATTTTCAAAAGTAAATAGAGCTATATCAACATGTAAGATGGATTTTGAACTCAATCAGAAATATTCACAAACATATGGTATACAAGTCTTATCAAAATACCCACAAAAAATTGTAAATTCTTTATAACTCAAGAGGATGCACAAATATCACTAACTTTGTAGCCCACTAAAGAATCTCAACCAAAAATCAATTGCAACTGTTGATAAGCTCTTCTAAACAATCCCATAGAATTTCCAGCAAGCATGTACACATAAAAAATCCATCATAAACCATTCCAACAATATAAGATAATGCCCAATACTTTTTCCCTTGCTCATAAAATATTTTCCAACCTTCTTGTAGTATTTCTAGATGCAAAAGATGAAGAAGAATGTTGGAACAAAACTCACCAAATTCATATGAATTTATAGGCACAGTTTGATAGCTTTTATAGAGAGATAATGTAGGTGAAAATGAGTTTTCAGCAATATATAGTACAAAATAGAACATAAGTTTCCTGCAAAAAAGTTGTTAGCAAATAATCTAGAGAGAGAAAGCTTCTTCGAGATGCAACATGGTGCTCGAATTGATCCTGTGACACTGGAGGGCTCTCACTGAGAGGTACGTCCCTTGCACCCAGTTCACAAGGAAGCATAAGAGAGAGAAAGAGGTTTTAGGGAGAGAAAGAGAGCTTGTGCTTGATAGTCCAGCCTCCCAAAACCTATTTCCATAAATATAGCTACAAAAAGGAAAAAATAAAGACACATGTAGAGAGAGACATGACAAGTGTTGCTTTTCAGTAGCCACTTGTCCCTCTCTTCACATGGGCCTTTCTTATTCTCTATACAAAACACTAGCTTATCTTAAAATATATTTTACGTAACGTAGAAAAGAAAATTAATAAATCAAAATTTTTGGGCCCTTATTTTGTAAATATTTGGAAACACAGTTTTCTCTAACATTCCCCCACTTGTTTCAAAATATTATTTATAAAACCATCATACAATCTTTTAGTAGCTATATAGAAGTTGCTTGAGCTGTACATCCTCAAACAACAAATCCATCCATACATACCATCCACTCAATGGCATCGACAACACACATTCCCATGCTCATCAATTGTCGTGACGTATTGTGTGATCATCAACCATATCATGAACTTCACCTACATGCTTTTAGATTAGTGGACTTTCTCTCTCTCGCTAGTGTCCTCTGAAAAGCATCAAACACTCACTCCGTGATACATCCATCATCAAAAGGAATCTCTGTCACCTGAAAAATGTGAATAATCATCAATACAGTGAATGATGCTATGATCCTATAAGGATCCTCAAACTGTCCAAACTAGCCATTGCAAAGTGGAAAATGGTGTCTAAAAGACATGGCAACATGAGGTCATGCTCAATGAGTCATACTAAATACAATTGTCCAGTTGGTCATCATAATGCGGATAACAGAGTCTTAAGACTGCTAGTTGGAGGTCATGTTCAACTGTCCAGATATCCAAGCTAGCCATCACAGTGTGGAAATACAGAGTCAAAAGACTACTAGCCGGAGGTCATACTCAATAAGTGATGCCAAGTATAACTGTCCAGTCTAATCTCGCAATGTGGAAAACAGAGTCAGACGACTGCTAACTGACGGTGGTGCGTGACACTTACCCCTTCGAGGGATTTCGCCATATACGAACCATTAAATATTAGAAGACATAACCTAACCACCCTTAGATGGCGCTTACACATGTCACACGGGTGTCATCGCCACAAAGGCGGATTTGCCACACACGCGTCATCACCACAAAGGCTCATATGCCACACAGGCAAAGGTTAATCACATAACATTCCACATGTTCAATAGCTGCGTCACTAAGGCTCATCACAGACATATCATAAGAAACCTATGGATCTCAATCCCATACCACTTACACACCTTTCATATATGTTTATGTTGACACCTTTAGTCAATGGGTCAGCTATCATGAAATCTGTGTGGAGATACATTACTTCGCACAAACTCTCTCACAGAATGATACTTTCTATGAATGTATTTTGATACATTGTGGTACATAGGATATTTAGAAATGGCTATGGCAACGTGGTTGTCACATTGAATAACTTTGGAGTGCTCTCAAACGTAGCCAATGGTATCTCATTGAGAAATTTTCTTAAATATATTACTTCATTGGCCGCCTCATATAAGGCTACATACTCTGCCTCCATTGTTGATTGTGACATACTCTTTTGTATATGGTTGCCCCATGATATACATGCTCCTCCATAAGTGAAAAGCCATCTAGATGTAGATCTGAATTCATTTTCTCTACCAGTCCAGTTAGCATCACTGTAGCATTGCAATTCTAATTTACCATTTCCATAACATAGGCTATAAGTGGTGGTCTTTTTAGATATCTAAATAATCTCTTTACAAGTTTCTAATGTTCTGTGCCTAGGTTACTCATATAATGTCTAGCAAACCCCACTATAGTTTAATGATCCTATTGCTTGTGCATAAGGGATCTTTTTCGTAATCTCTTTTTCCTTATCAGTCTTGGAACACATGTCCTTGGACAATTTATACCCTTTCTCATATGGGATTCCCATTGGTTTAGATTCATCCATTCTAAAATTTTTCAATAACTTCACAGTATATAATTCTTGATTTAAGTAGAGTAATCTTCTCTTCTTATCTCTTGTAATTTGCATGCCAAGAACGTGCTTTAGTTCTCCTAAGTCTTTCATCTCAAATTGTAAAGATAACTACTCTTTGGTACTTTAATAACCTTAGGATCACTACTTGT